CACACACACACACACACACACACACACACACACACACTGCTTCACACATTCATGGACTGTTAAAAACAGCAGGACAACAAGCAGGTATACTCATCAGACTGTAATTCAGCCTTTAGCTGTATCAGACAATACTGCTGAAATAAATGTATCAAAAGGGTCAAACACTACAGGTCAGATGTCTTGATGTTGAGGACAACATCCTTATTTGAGGAGTGTGTAATAGATAGAAGTGAGACAAACACTAATATAGGAACACAATATGCTTTTCAACTCAGTCTAATATGTCTAAAATCCAAAGAGATTTTTCATCTATTCACTTGGCCAGTAATGCCTTGTTCAGTTTTGCTGACATCGATTAGTTATGCCTAGTTCATTTCTGCTGAGGTCGATTAGTAATGCCTAGTACATTTCTGCTGCGATAGATCAACAATGCTTTCCTTCTTTCTACTGGCTTAATTAGCCATTACAGCACAAGCAGACAAACATGTACCGCTGCATTATAAGGTAAGATGCGTTACGTCTTTTCTATTCATGACTCCGAAGTTACAAATCTATGCACGACTTGAAGTGCACTCAGAGGTCTGTACGACCTTTAGCATACATTTCTTTCTGTGCAGTATTAACTTTTTTACTTGTACTATTTAGATCTTAGATTCATGGGTTTAAATATGATGTGCGTGTACATTGTCGTCGTTGACACCATGTAACGTTATGCTATTAGCCTACATATTTATGGATATGAAAGAAGCGGTATTGATATTACCCAATCCCAATGTCCCCCCTAAAGCCTTAAACCCTGAACTCTCAGGGACTTACTGACGTCACCTGGTAAATGGTTGAATGGTTGAAACATATATGTACAATTGTGGGTATTTATAAATGCGTTTTACTCCCTGATTTGAACGTCTTCCAGGCTCTTTCCAGATCATTTCAAATAATCTATTTACTCGTTTTTGTTTTCAAAACAGCTGCAATGACTAAATGAAATGTTTGAGGAATAATATATATAATATGTGTATACTATAATCTCTGCTCCCATTCCTCTGATTTCATGTGTTTTTTCATGTTCCACTCTCAATCCTTTATGTTTCTGAGTAAATGTAATTTGCCAGGCTGAACACTGTGACGTCCATAACTTTTTATTTACGTCTCCATGCTTCCATTGGTAACCCCGTGTCTAACGTCACATTGCAATGATTTGTGGGTAATTCCCTTGGGCAAAGTCTGCAGAAATGCTGACTTACGGGAAGGGTTCATAAAGGGCTCAACATGTCTGCCAGAGAGCCTTAAAAACACTCGACCATTTGACAGTGGGACAGCCCTAAACCCTCACGGACTTCACAACCCTTAAACATTTCACACCCGTGAGTTAGAGTCTGCAGGTCATGCTTATCAGTGCCCATGCTCCACATGTTTACATCAAACCACCTGTAACGTCTTGGATCCCATCTCATAATTGCAACTGTTAAGATTGTCTTTGCATATCCCTGAACATCATTATCAGTGACCTAGTGCCTTGGACATGCATTTTGCAAGGTTTCAATTTCAAAAGCGTACTAATTTCTGAATATATTTTGCTCTCTCTTTCTCTCTCTCTGTCCTGAAAAGGAGGGTGTGTAGCGGAGGAAGAGTGTGTCCTGCCTTTGTGCCTCCTTACACCCAGTCACCATCATGGACGCTGGGAGACACACCAGAGGAGAGACATCACAGGTGACTGCATCACTCGGACTCCCGTGGTTCTCTGGACTACAGGCTCAATACTTATTTAACATATAGGTTTTGTGTGAGGGATAAAAAGAAAATGACATATAGTTTTGAACAATTTGAGTAACTCATTTTGTGACTAATATTATTTTCTTATATAATTGTAGCAAGCATAATCACAAATTGAACTTCTTCCTTCAGCCATATAAAATAGTGCTCTCCCAGGTTTTTTAATTAGGTATAAACTCAACTGCTAAGTAAACTTACATTTGTGGCATACTTGACATTCCACACTATTATTAGAGTTGTCCATTTATTGTAATAAAGATGAAGCAATCTGCTCAATCCGTTCCTCAAACTCACAGAATTCATGTTAAATAGCCACAGTTGAACACATTTTCTGGTGACCATGGTCATTACAACCTGTGAATACCCTCGGCTTTAACTCTTACTTGCAACAGCTTGTTAACGATGTCGTTTATTTATTCACTGTGTGTTTGCAGGCTGGCCCAGCAGCGTCGGCAATGTTCGCACCGCAGCATGAGCTCTGCATCCAGGAGGAGGAGAGCTCTGCGCAGCGCCTTCCCGGTGCTGGAGCAGCCTCTCCAGCCCATCCACCATCATGTGTATGAAGCTAACCTCCGAAACAGCAACGCCTGCCACAACAAGTTGGTTCTGCTCTCGTCAGCTCTGATCAGCTCTGGTTGATTTCCCCCACTGCATTATTTATCGAAATACATTTCTAAATGCAGGCTATTCGTTAGCGCGCGCTCTCTCTCTCTCTCTAAGGTACATGGAGTTGAGTGAAAAGATAAGGAAAGGTGGAGGGGAGAAAGCCATCGCCAGACACACTCAGAGAAACAGGAAGTTGCTGGTCAGGGATCGGTTGCGCCTCCTGCTGGATGATGAGGACTTCCTGGAGCTGTCTCCATTCGCTGGTCTCGGTCTGCCGTATGGGGACATCCCTTCTGCCGGCTGCCTGACTGGTCAGAAACTGCTAGCTGCCAACCTGTATCTTTTAATACTATAACTACAACTATAGAATAATAAACTACTGACTTGCATAACGTATCCATTCAGGCATTGGCAGGATCAACGGCCTGTGGTGCGTGTTTATAGCCAACGACGCCACAGTAAAAGGTGGCACAGCGTATCCCATCACGGTGAAGAAGCAGCTACGAGCACAGGAAATAGCAATTCAGAACCGCCTGCCCTGTGTTTACCTGGTTGACTCGGGAGGAGCTTTTCTACCACTGCAGGTAAACACACACACACACACACGTCACCATAATAAGAGCTTAGCATCAGAATATTGTCTTTTCAGGAGATCTGAATGTCAGCTGAATTATAGTGATTTTTATTTCTAAATCTGTGTGTCTGTGTCTGTGTCTGTGTGTGTGTGTGTGTGTGTGTGTGTGTGTGTGTGTGTGTGTGTGTATTATTGTCCAGTCAGAGATCTTTCCCGATAAGAACCAGGGAGGAAGGACGTTCTATAATGAAGCCATCATGTCTGCCATGAAGATCCCACAGGTAAAGAAATATAAAGTAGTGCAGGCTGGCTTTAACCGAACAACAAAAATAAAATGTGAATTTGTTGTAATATCAAACAGATGTCACATCTGACATGCTACTATTCCTGCGGCCATGAAAAAACCCCCAAAAAAAACAACAACAGACAAAACAGTTATAATGGGCTTGTAGTGGCTATTTGTCAAAAAGAAAAAAAATATTAAAACAAAACTTGCATCAAAAGGCCACTGATGCACCATTTTAGTTGGTTTGTAACTTAGGCAAGAAATCCGATGTCCAGTTGTGTTTAGGTGAATTTTATTTTAGTGATCAAAAGCAAACATTTCTCGTGCAGTCTCTCCTTGCTCCGCTCTCTCTCACCTCCTACCTAAATCCCTTCACCTGGACACATGCCCGGCCTAGTGCTCAGTGCCCCTAGTGTCAACAAAAAAAAATACAATAACAACATATCAAACTAATGAAATGGCACGAAATGGCATGAAACAGTGCTGATAATATATAAACAATGGATTAAACATATATATATATATATATATATATATATATATATATATATATATTCAGTGTGATACTGTTTTCCAGCGCATTTGTTCTTGGGTTCCCTCTATTTTGCAGTTTCAGTGGCATCGGATGTACAAATTTACTTTCTGAGTACATAAAATAAATGAGTTGATCGTCAGGCCATAGAAGGTAGAAATGCAGTTATACTTTCGGACACAAGACCTCTATAAAATTATCTGAAAACACTCGATGATAGTCTCAGGACCAAATGTCGTTGATAAAGACAGTAAATACAAATGTCTACACATATCAATGAGACTTTATGGGCTGCAAGAATTTTGTCAAAATCAGTCTTAAAAACTGATTTTCTGACAGAAAAGAGACAAATCCACATTTGATAAAATCACAACTTTAGCAATTAAAAAAAATTGCACTCTCTTAAACTGCTATTTTGATATGAACACAACTAATAATTCAAAAGGTGGCGGTGGTGTGCGGGTCATGCACGGCGGGCGGAGCTTACATCCCCACCATGGCAGAAGAGGCGGTGATGGTGCACCGGATAGGCACCATATTCCTGGGAGGACCGCCACTCGTCAAGGCCGCCACAGGAGAGGAAGTCACACCAGAAGACCTGGGAGGAGCCAGGCTTCATGCCGAGTCGGTCCACAGATCAAACCTGCCCCAAATATACAATCATTACAGAAATTACAGTAAGAAAAAGTTCACATCATCAAGTCTGTTAATTCATCGTCCGGTTTCAGGGTGAGTGGCTGTGTCGACCATTTTGCCTGGGAAGAAAAGGAGGCGTACGATTACACCAGAAACATTGTGTCCACCCTCAACTTCCGACTGCCCGAGGAGGAGGAAGATGAGGAGGAGCCGCTGTATAATTCAATGGAGCTTCTGGGGCTCGCTCCTAAAAGTTATAACTACAGTCTGGATGTTAAAATGGTACAGTGTGCAAAAATAAAAACTGTGTTGGTATTTTTTTTTTTTGGGCAGTCATGTTACTGTCTCACTGAATCCAGAATTAATAACAAGCTGTCCGTCTGTCCAGATGGTCAGTCGGCTGACAGACGGGGGCCGCTTCCAGGAGTTCAAAGCTCGCTACGGGACCACACTCGTCACTGGCTTTGCAAAGATTCACGGGTAAAATATACAAACACACACAGATTGAGATAGTGAGGGCAGGGACAACATACACTGTACTTTTCAGCCAATAAACGGCAAGTTAAAGTTTTAAATGATGTTAAAATAACAGCTATTACAACATAATAATTTGACAATTCAATCGTTAGATGTTGGATTATTGTAAAGGCATATATTACAAGCAGATTGTCACCGCAAACTGTGTGATTTGCACCTTGTTGTAAAATCTGACCAATAGAATCTCTCACTGACCAAATACAATAAAAACAGGAAATACAGTTTCTGTATTTTTATGATCTTACTGATGCTGTTATTGCTTTTTTATTATAAAAAATGGAAGACACTTGCATACTCACAAACTCAGTGACAACCGTGGGCCTCAGTAACGTCTTGATCAGAGCATTATCAATACTGAGTCAGCAGCCTAACTGCCAGGCTAAGCCTCAGCAGCAGCAGGATAGCTCCAACTGTTTTACTCTTTATTCTGGAGTATTTGTTTTCACATCTGTGTGTCTGTACTGTGCTAGCCATTTGGTGGGAATAGTGGCCAACAACGGAGAGCTGTCATGCCAGGCCGCACTGAAAGGAAGCCATTTTGTCCAGTTGTGTGACCAGAGAGACGTCCCCCTCCTCTTCCTCCAGAACACGGCACCCACAGCAGCTCCAACACTCTCCACAACGCAGGTATCAACTCCCAGGCAAACACACACACATGCTTGTTTAAACTAAAAAAATACATTGGACAACTCAAAAGACTTAACTCCCATCTTCTCTGTGATTATTAGTTTTTATTATGAAGTCAATTTTATGCAGATCATTTGGGAACTCAAAGAGAACAGCTGAAGGAGTACCTCCTAAAGAGAAGATGGAGGATGTGTATAAATAATAATCATTTTGGTCAGCATCAGCCAAAGTGACTTTTTTCATGTCTGTATGTTCTCTGTTGCTCTCTCTCTTCTAGGCCGAGGTGAGCAGTAACCGTCTCAAGGCTCAGGGTTCGATGATGTCAGCAGTAGCGTGTGCCTCCGTCCCCAAAATCACTGTGGTGATTGGTGGTTGCCACGGTGCCGACAGCTACGCCATGGTGAGATACGCCGTAACCATAGCCGAAGTTGTCTGATAATCTCAAAAGCCTTTGGTCTTTTACTTTGCTCGAATTTAAAAGTGACGTTATTGATGCAGACACGAAGCTGCCTCTGGGAACATAAATTGCGTCCTTTTCCGTGTCTTTGTATGATAGAAACCAATTACAAAATATTTTTAATAGAAAATATTTTTTGTCTTTCTATCTAAGTGCGTCTGTCACACTACAAATATTTAAGTTTTTTTCTTTTTTGGTTGTTTGTTTCAGTTTTTCTTTAGCACCAATCTGTACCCTGTCTTTAAACTATTGCAGTTCCACAGCTACAACAACAAATCATCAACGTGTGCATAGAAACTTCCAATTATTTATTTCTCACAGAAATATGCCTGATGTGTTTTTTACATTGGTTGCAACAACTCATGTCAACAGCTTATCAATAGACAACATATATACTGTGTATGCAATTACTGTATGCTCATGTAGGATTCATCATCCCACAATGATTTGAACCTTGTTTTCTGATCGTCTTTAGTGTGGGCGGGCGTTTGAACCTAACTTCCTGTTCCTGTGGCCCAACGCCAGAGTGTCGATGACGGCTCCGGGTCACGCCGGCTCGCTGCTTCCCCCCGACAGTGAGCAGGAGGAAGAGAAAAAGCAGGAGGATAAGCTAAATAGGAGACTGGAGGAGGAGAGCTCTGCTTTCTTCTCCTCCGGCAGGCTCTGGGACGATGGAGTCCTTCTGCCTCAGGACACCAGGAAGGTAAAATAACAACATTTTGTTACTAGCCGTCACTCATCTAGACCTTTCAGAGTAGACATAAAGACACAATTTGATCTTAAGTGTTCCTTAACGATGTGTTTGAATCTGTTAATGTTGACAGGTTCTCAGAAACTGCCTGGACATCATCAAACAGCAGCAGTATCAGCTTTCCATGGAGAAACTGCAATCACCACTCCTGCGTATGTAGAGGCTGCGATCCATTGTGTTCATTGCCACAAGACTCAATTGTTTCAGTTCAGTTCCATGTTGTAAAATATTTTAAATACATCCTACACTTAAACTGATGTTAATGTTGGAAATAAAATAGATTTCTAACAGATTTCTTGTCTTTTTTTTAATTTATTTTCTTATATATTTTAAATCCACAATACAAAAGCACCTCACAGGTGTTTTACATGTAGCACTGATTTATTTTCCGTGTAACTTTTTTGGGGTAAATTACGAATGTAAATGAATCATTGCAATGTAGTTTTTTTTATTTGTAAAACAAAAAAGAGAATAAAAAATGTAAATACATTTTTCAAATTGCAAAACTAGTGTGTTTTTAAATATTTTTACTTGGATAATTTCACAAGTATGCAGGGGACATTTTAATTCACAGCAGTACATTTTGATGTTTTTGCTAACGTGTTTTAACAGAAGTGAAGTAAAGCACTGTTGAGTTGAACCTAGCCCAGTTGCTTGCGCCCAAACATTTCATTAATTACATGAAATTAGAATAACATTGTGTGATTGGATACTAGCTACTGATTAAATGTAGCATGTTCTTTTTAAATAATATTCTTCAAAATCTCTCTGAGAAAAATAATGCTTGAATTTAAACTTGAAGCAGGATTCATTTATTTTATCGGAAGTCTACGAGGGAAAATGTATTGTAGTCAGTGGTGGAATGTAACTAATACATTTACACAATACTGTTCAAATTTGAGGCATTTTTACCTTGACTCTTTTCATGCCACTTTACACTTCTACTACACAACAGTTCAGAGGGAAATATTGTTCTTTTTATTTTTCAATTATTCGACATGCAGCTCTAGTAATTACTTTACAAATAAGACAAATCGAGCAGCAAACAGTTTGCAAAGGAATATTAATTATGATCATGTTACATTATGCTTCTAATTGCAACCGTATTGCTTATCATCGATTCCGCTCTTAATATTAAATCTATTTCATCATAGGTCAAACTTCAGGTGTAAGTTATCGTATCGTGGCTTTAAAGGAGACATAATGCTCATTTTGAGGTTCATACTTTTATTTTGGGTTTCTACGAGAACATGTTTAAGTGCTTTGATGTTCAAAAAACACGTAATACCCCCTCATACTGTCTGCCTGAATATACCTTTGTTCACCCCCTTTCTGAAACGCTCCGTTTCAGCGCTTGTCTCTTGCAAAAAACAATGTTTTTATATCAATTAATCTACACAGAAGTCAACACTTCTAGGAGACGAAGTTTCAAATCTACTCTCCAGAAACAGCTAGTAGGAGTGTTGAGTCATTTTTGTCAAAGCAACTACACTATAACCGGTTGAATATGATTGTTTTTATTTGTATTAAAGAAGAAGAAAAATGCAAATAGCTTTTAAAATACATGCTGCAAAAATATGAATATTTTTTTATATATTTAATTGTACCTCTTGCTTTAGGATGAAGGATCATGTCATGATGATTAACTATATATAAGTGCTAATTATGAAATAAAACATTGTAAATGGAGTAAATGTTTTTGCTAAGGTGATTGAACAGAAGCAACGTAAACTGTACACGGGCACTGTTTTCATCTACCAGCTACAAGACACTGTTCAATCGTCTTTATGATTTGTACATTACAATCAACGGACCCTGCTAGCTCCAAGCAATCTCAGCAGCCAGCTTGAGCCCACTGTGGAAGGGAATTAACATGAATAACATGTCATTTAAACAACATGATAAATATACCAAGGGCCTGGTGAAAGCAATAGTGCTTACATATTTTACTTTTACTTTACAAAATAAAACCACTATTTGGAGTCCATTTCTAATTGTAAAATGTGGTTGGCTGGTAGGAAAGTGAACATGGTGTACTTTGGATGGGGTCTTGGCTGGGCTGGGATGAAGGTGAGGGTCATGGCTTGTAAATGCCGTGGAAGGTCACGGGGATGATGGTGTTGACCTCGGCCCTGGCCAGCTCTTTCAGTTTCATGGCATCCAGCACCAGCAGGAAGCCCGGTCTCTCTGCACCCGGCTTTACCACAATGCTCAGCAGCACACCTGCAACACCGAGACAGACGGGGTGAGTTTGTGTGTCTGTTTCCACCGTAGACATGATTAGGATTAGGTGAAGACTAAAGGTAATCTAAGGGTGGGTTTGATTTAGGTTTGTATTCAAAATATGATCAGGAACAGATTAAGATAGAAGTTAACCGTTAGATGTTGCTGTTATTGCAGGCCATTAACATTTTGTCAGATCTCAAGGTTCAGGGCCAAAGTAACAATTGAATAGTTAATTCATAAACTAGTTTGTGTAAACTTTACTAGGCAAAAATGTATTGAGCACTTTAAAATGAAGGCCTCAAGACTATATATTAATGCAGGTGACAACTTAAAGACCCTATAATGTATCTTTAAATTGAAAATGTTGTGGTGCAGGCAGTATTACCAAACAAATGATCACTTATCACACAGTGAACTTAGAGCCTTTTACGCTCCCTGAGTGTAATCCAGTTCTGGCTACTTTGTATTTTAGTCAAAGTTAAATTATTATTATTATTTAATACTGTTGAATTTAAAGTGTGCAGTCATATCTGTAAAATATACTGGAAAAAGTCTAGTCCCTGTAATAGTACAATATATTTGAAATTCAAAGAGTTTATCAAATGAATCTCATCACCAGCCGAGTGGACTTCTGTGTCTCTTGTCTTTTTGTAATTATCTTAAAAGGGACAGTGTGCAGGATTTGGTGGCGTCTAGTGGTGTGGTTGCATATTGAAACTTACTGAATACCTCGTAGAAATTAGTTTCCTGTTATTATACACTGATGAAAACATAGTTGTGAATACCACATTCCATTTCTGCTAACAGATTCCCCAAAACGCTACACACTGGCCCTCCAACATTTCAACATATTTATGTCTAAAGCTACAATAAAAACCAGTACAGGATCAAATAATCCTAAAGATCACAATGTGCTATATGTTTTATGCGTTTGTGTGTGTTCATGTGTGTGTGAGCATGTGTGCGGAAGTGTAATTTGTGTGTTCTACCATCATCCTCCTCTGTGGCTCCGGGTGTTGGTACGAACAGCGGCTCCGATGGGTAACATTCTTCCTCCTGCCACACCCAGGTCTCTTTGGTCTGTACGTTCAGCTTGACTATCTACATGTACAGCAAGTCAACAACAAACAACCAACATCAGCATCACTTTTATCATTGTTGATTATGGATTATCTTTCGGAGCACAAACACTGTCTTTGTCTCTTCCTGGGAACGATAAAAGCGCTCCTACCCTGTCAGGAATGAAGTGGTTGAGTCCCAGACCGTAGGCGAAGGAATACTTCTTCCCACCACACAGAGAGTAGTTAATCTGTGGAAACTCAAAGGCTGAAAGAGAGACAGCAACATGAGTAATAGATTGTGCATTTTACAACATGTTTTAATGTTTTTGTATGTATGTATGTGTGTGTGCGCGTGTGTGTGTGCGTGTGTATATTACCCAGCCTTGGTGCAGAGAAGAGGACTTCAGGTTCGAGCCAGACAGTGCCGTCACTGTGAAGAACAGCAGTAGCTGTAGTGTAGGGTAGAGACACCAGATTCTTTCCCTGCTCTTCCTGAAAACACACACAAACATGCATATGGATGACATACGCACACACACCATTTCATACAGGAGTGTAAGAAAATGCGAAAAGTCTGACTTGAGTGGAATACTGATCGAGGATAAGCACCAAGCAGCTCCTCAAAGACAACCATGTGTGTGTGTGTTTGTGTGTGTGTCTCTCTCACCCTGTGTATATCCAGTGGCAGTACGTATCGTCTGACCTCAGGCTGAGGAGCTCTCATCGCTGCTTTCTTCACTTCCTCCCACTCCTCCTTTATGTTGGCCAGGTACAGGTAGTCATACACAAAGTCATGACTGTGCAAAAACAGAGAGAGATGTCAGGGTGAGACCATTACACTGTTCATGTAACACTCACGCAGACACACGCAGGGTCACACTCACCCTTTCCAAGTGCAGAGGTCGACCACGAGGAATCCCTGCTCCTCCTCATAGGTGTTAATATGGTGAAAGATGTTGAAAGCTGATGTTCTGAACTTGTGGCTGCTCAGATATTCTGCTGGGTCCTTAGTGGCCAGGTGGAACCATGTCTACAACACACACACACACACACATACTGAACAGATGCACTCATGCAATCATTCAAACTCGCCTTCCTACCCCCAGGGGCCGGTTTAGAAACTTTTAAATTGGGAGTGCTGGGAGTGTCAGCCTGGAGCACAGATTTAAAGAAAGAGGACACATTTGTAAAATATGGAAACATTTCTTGGCAATGATAATGATGGTGTAATAAATAAATGCCAAGAAGACAACCTTAAATATCCTAATATGATAAATAATACTGGTAAATAACTGTTATTTATAACTTTAAATAGGCTGCAGCCTTGGACATTATATAAAACAATGGGCTCCTAGACACATGTCTTTGTGCGTCTCTTTGTGCCTCTGTTTTTATTGTCTTGTGTCTCCTTTTGGTCTTTTTAGTTGTTTTGTGTCTCTTTATGAACTTTTAGCGTCTCTTTTTTTGGTAATTATGTTTCTCTTTGTGGTTGTGTTTGATTGACCAACAACAATTGTTGACAGTCACTTCATACATTGGTCCAGGGTCTGGTCCAGGGGCCCCTCTGGGCCTGTAATCCATGATATACAGACTTGATCCTGAAAAGTCAACTACCCAACGCCCTCTGGCCACGCCCCCGGCCTACCCCCATGCTTTCGTTGGATTCAAAGCAGTCCATGTATGTGGCTCCTCTGACGCTCCAAGCCGACAGGAACTTGAGCAGGTTGATCTTCACCGGCTGCTCCACAAACACAAAATAGTTGTCTGTCATACCGAAACTACAGACAGACAGGCAGAGAGACAGACAGGGATCCAATAAACAGCAGTGGCAACATCTTGAGGGGTCACAGACACAAACAATGGATTATTTGGTGGTGATGGTTTGGGCAAAACAAGTACAGATGCAGTGCTTGGACTCCGTTGAATTCATTGTATTGTGTTTTCATTGTGAGACATGGCAGAACTAAGTCGGTACCTGTGTACGTAGGAGGGTTTCAACCTCTCACTGCTGGGCAGTTGAACGACCACCTGGGATCTCTCCAGGGGATCTGACTTGTCTGGAAACCCACAGTGATAGTGTGTAATATAAGTATTGTCTTGTGACTGTGTGCATAAGTTCATCTTCATCCATTTAATAGTAAAATAATCAATAAAACATGACTTTGTAATATTCAGTCCGCTGACTCACTTTTCTCACCTTTTTGAGAAGGTGGGATCTTGACGATGTTGTAAGCCAGACTCATGTTCTTGCCAAAGCAATTGCCGATGTTATAGACTGTACCATCTGCGTCAATGTGGGGGTGGGCAGTTGCCCCATTCACTGAGAGGTACTTACACAGGTCCACCTGGTATAAATACATGCACACAGGACAGAGATTTAATACGTATAAAGATTGATTATAAAGAAAGCAAGAAGAAGAGGGGTCAGTGTCAT